AGGGGGAGTAAGATGGGCTCTGGATGGCAGGAGAGGGTTATAGAGTGTGTGGGAGGGGATGTCTGGGGAAGACACTGGATCCCTGGTTAATGCTTGGAAGATTCCTGGGACCTGGGAAGAGTGAGTGACTGGGGCACCCTAGGGAGGGATGTGGAACAGAGCTCCTGGGTCCCTGGGAAGGAATGAAGGACTAGGCACCCCTAGAAAGAGCTGGAGGAATCCTGCAGGATTACTGCATTGCCAGAGGGCAGGGCTCTCACTCACCTGCACTGATCCAGGCTGGGACCTGGAAGCTGCAGCAGTAGCAGCAGCAGCAGCAGCAGCATTATTGGTGAGCACAGAGGCAGTGGATCTACCTGGAGGGTGTCAGGTGAGGGATGGTCTGGCAGCAAGTGTAGTCACCAAGCTGGGCTGGCCACCCCTCCTTCCTCCTTCCCCAGACCCCACACTCACCCTGCCCCTGGCCTCACCCTCCAGTAGGGCATGGGCCTGCCAGGCAGGGCGGACACCTAGGACCATATGCAGTGTCCCTCCTAGAGCTACCATTAAGTATGATGTTCGCTGTAGGTTTATTCTATGTGTTCTTTATCAACTAGGAGATGGTTCCTCTATTCCTAGTTTGCTGAGAGTTTTTATCAGGAATGGGCATTGGTGAACAACTAATTGGCAAAAGAGAACTCAAAAGAGAAATCAGAAAGTATCTTGAGAGAAACAAAAATGAAAAGACAACATACCAAAACTTATGCGATGCAGCAAAAGCAGTTCTAAGAGGGAAGTTTCTATCAATAAATACTTAATTTAAGAAGAAAGAAAGATCTCAAATTAACAATTCAGCTTTACACCTCAACGAAGTAGAAAAAGAACAAACTAAGCCAAAGTTAGCAGAAAGAAGGAAATAATAAAGATTAGAGTAGAAAGTAAGAAAACAGAGACTATAAAGACAGTAGAAAAAAATCAACAAAACTGAGTTGGTTCTTTAAAAAGATAAACAAAATTGACAAAATTTTAGCTACACAAATCAAGAAAAAAATAAAGAGGGCCCAAATAAAACTGTAAATGAAAGAAGAGACATTACAATTGACACCACAGAAATACGAAAGATCATAAGAGGATGTGACAGCACATGCTAGTCACATAGAGTAGGCCCCTGATAAGTGATAAATGGATGGAAGAAAGTCTACAGAACAGCCCAAGAAAAGGAGAATGAACTTTTGTGTCCAATGCAAATGCTGGAATCCACAGCACTTGCCATTCGCAAGCAAGGAGGGAACAACAAAGAGAAAGTTTCCACCACCTCCTTGTATCACACAATTTCAAAATCAGGCTACATTTCAAATAGGTAGTAATCTGACACTTAACCCATGTAAATTAAGGACAACTTGAGGGGAACAGATAATGGCAACAAAGCTCAGTGAGCTCAGTCTCCTTCCCTTCTCACTTCTTCCCCAGCCATTTTGTTGCTGACCCAATGCAGAGGTTACACTCTAGAAACAGACAGTATTCAGGAGACCTCATCTATGCCTACCAGGATGCTTGAGGAAATATTATCTACTTAAAAGATATGAATGAAGCCGCCTTTTGTGGTTTCCTCAGGAACCACCTTTGTGCCTGGGAAACCACCACCCCCCAACTGACTGCCAAGAAAAATCTCTATCGATTGCAAATGTCTTAGGCCCAGAGCATTGTGGTCAATGAGGCTACAGTCCCACTTGTGGACTCTGTCATGTCCAACTGCCCCACCTTGAAGACCAAGCTCCTGGTATCAGATATAAGCTATGGTGGGTGGTTGGGTTTTAAGGAGTTGATGAGGTGACTGGACACTGAAAACAAGATGTTTAAATGAAGCAAATACCTGAATTTGTAAAATGTGATGATACGTGAGAAGTGTTGTTTTAACTTGGGTGGTGTGAGAGGAGAGAGAAGGAAGCTGGACAGCAATTTCTAGTCCTGAAACCAGAGCATCCCCCAACACAAGAATTCATGATCTGTCTTACAAGGTCTCAGTCTGAGTGAAAGTCTCATCTCCTGATTCATACCTGAGTATTCATTCTCAGAGAGGGTCAAAAAATAGGTGATAGTAACATAAATAAGCAGTACACGTATTAAAAAAAACAAAACAAAGAACACTCACCCTCGCTGGTAAATGGGGAAATACTTACTAAAATAACACGAGGATGCCATGTTCATCTTCAGGTTAATGAAATATCGAGTTTGATAATTATTAATGTGGTCTCTAGAGGGCGATATTCCAGTGTCCGGGGATATAAAAGTCAACATGGCACTGATACTCTACACTGCAAAACGAACAAACAAGAAAACACGTAAATGATCGAGATAATACAGATTGCAAAAGAGGCTTCAAAACAAAACAGAACAATGAGATAGAATGACCGGACGTGGGATGGGGGAATTATTTTAGATTTGGTGGCTTCTGAAGAGAGGACATTTAAGCTGCTATATGAACACCAAGGAACCAACCTTCTGAAGATCTGTGGTTATGTCCCTGGCAGAGGGAACACTAAGGTAAAGCACCTGAAGGGAGAATGAGTTGGTTCTGTTTGAGGAGCAGAGAGAATGCCAGGGTGCCTGAAGTGCAATGAGCGAGGAAGAGAGTAGGAGGTAAAGAGGTTGACGAGCAAGAGACGGTGGACTGCAGAGGCCTTGCAGGTGCTGCAGGAGAGGGAAGGACTTGATCTGACTTACATTTTAAAAAATACTCTCTGGCTGCTCTATGAACAATTGAACACAAGAAAGAGACCTGGCAGAGGGCTGTCGCAGTTGTCCAGGTGAGAGGCTATGTTGGTGTGGACCAAGGTAGCAGCAGAGGAGAGAGGACACACCTCAGGCACAAAATTTAAATGGACACCAAAATATTCAGTGATCATGAAAAATAACATTTTAATTTTAAAATAAATTTTTAAAAATACATGTAAATAAAATAATTGTTTTAAAATGTATATACCAACATATAATTTTAAATATTGTATATATTTATGTTATGTATTTGTAATTTATGAACAATCATAAGATAATTTTAACTTTATAAGTCTCTTAAAAGAAAATATTTTAAAAATTTCTTGAAAATACAAATAATCAAACTGGCAAACTATAGCCCTCAAACCAACTGCCTGTTTTTATAAATAAAGTTTTAACTGGTGCCAGGGACAGGATTAGGCTGACCAAGTGAGGGGAGTCATGCAAGTGCTAGGTTGGATACTGTATTTAAGTAAAACTATAATATTTTGTTTATCGTATATTTTTGCATTAATTTTTAATTTTTTAAAAAATATGACTTTAACATATTATCTATCTTGACTGCTGAATTTGTTTGCATCCCCTTAAAAACCATGCGTGAGGCAAATGTTTCACTCATCTCACGCTAGTCCAGTCCCTGAGTAGAGATAATGAAGAGAATACACAGATTAATGATAAGTTTTGGAGGTAGAGTTGACAGGGCTTGTCAATGAATAGGATGTGACATAGGTAGGTAGGTAGGTAGGTAGGTATGCAAGTAGATACAGAAAGAGAGACAGTAAAGATTACTGAGTACTACAGATTTTTGGCTTGAGCAATTGGTTGAATAGAGGATCTTTAACAAGAAAATTATGGCTGGAGTGTAGAATGCCCTCGGATATTTCTTATGCAATAAAAAATCAATACAAAAATTTTTTTAAACAGAAAAAAATGGCAGCTCCCCCTCTAAAAATGATGCCCCAATATGACAAGATATGGGCTGTTATTTTCAAAAAGCACAGATGACCAAACCATGGTCCTAGGCTCTAAGTCAGAGAATTTGCACTTAGAACTGACTGTTGCCTCTTTTGTGACTTACAGAGTTGTACACTCAAAGCAAATCTGTGTGGGGACGAAGAGTCAGGATCCAATGGCCATCTGTTTTACCAACAGGACAAAAGGAGCTCCCACACTGGTAGAGTATTCCCAGCATGGTTTGACAATGGGATTTAGTCAGGCTTCAAGGTACAGTCCTCC